TTAAGGGCCAGTAGCTCTATGCCTGGTGAACACTAACTAAAGGCTAAACATCGTTATCGACTTTATCGACTACCTATTATATGTTATGAAACACTAAGAGCCGGTTTCTCAAAGCCTGGTTGACACTAATCGCCGATTAAACATCGTTATCGACTATACCTACACCATGTTATATGCATGGAGTCGAAAACGTAGATAACGATGTTAATCGCTGATTAGTGTCAACCAGATTTTGAGCAACCGGCCCTAACACTGGCTAACACTATCTCCCAGTTACAAATCGTTATCGACGTTATCGACACCCAGCATATATCATGTGATCGATAAAGCAGTCTATGCGCTTAACTGAAGGATGTATGTACCTTCAGTTAGCGTTAACTAGACATGGTGGAAGCGGCCCTTAGTCCATATACTTTGTTTATACCGTTCGCTGTGATTCACAACCGATGCATACCAAACTTCGATAAGCCCAGAAATTCAAAAGTGTATTGACTCTAATTTGTTTTCAACTCGGTTTTTTTATTTCTCAAATCGGTTACAAAACACGTATGTACAGACACGCCATTAATTTGACTTGAAGTGAAAATAGGTTGCTTTGTACAGTCTGTTTTAAATTCTAATTAGCATTTTAATAAATTTTAATTATTGTTCCCTTTCATTTCGGCAAATAAATTACTACACGGTTAAAAATTTCGGTTTTAATTTTAAACTTTTTGGACTACATATATGACCAAACTAAATTCAGTTTCAAATACAAACCTTCCAATAAATAATAATATAAATAACAATAAAAATAAAAGGTCTGATGGGGATTGAACCCGGACAGCCTTGGTAGCAACCAATTGTATCAAGCATCTTTGCACACTCAGCTACAGCCACGCATGTAAATGTGCTTTCATATGTTGAGTTTGAATCAACACCACATTTCGCTGTGTGCAAAAATTTTCTATTTCGGTTTAGATTTTAAATCAAATTTTCTATATATGAAACCTAGAACCTAGAATTAAAACATTTTGGTTTGCTAAAATTTAAACCAGATTATATTAAAAATTTATTAAAACTATTGACTGGTTTAAAAAGTAGACTATAAACGATTAAAAAAGGCAGTAGTCCCAGCGCAGTTTGAAAATTAAACCCAAATTTTTGACCGTGTTGCCGTATGTATTTGAGCCAATTTTGCGTTCAATATATTTTCTATGAAGTCTTAAAAAGTCACCTACTTTTTTCTGACTTTTTATGCTGCTACAGCTTTTTTGATGCTTTTGCGAGTGTGCGTGTTGCAATAGATCACCTCTTCCTGATTTGGCTTTTAATGTGCATTTGCAAGCATTGTAATTAGCCTCGTAACCACAAGTGTTTACAAAACCAGCTTTTGAACGCGGGATCCTTAGTCCAAAAATCATATTTAAATCATCTACGTCCAAAGAATAAATATCTTTTGAAGAAGCTGCTGCAAAAAACAAAGCTTGTAAAGATTTATTCAGAAAATAATTCAAAATCAGTTCTACTTACAGGATTTAGTAATGGAGAAAAATTACTGGGAAGTTAAAAAAACGTAATTTTTTACACAAAAAACGTCCGAACGTCAACAGGATACAAAAAACGGCCAAATGCCGTTAAAAACGTCAACCTGGCAACACTGCCTTCGCGTGCAGTGGTGGCTGTAGTTGAGTGCGCAAAGTTGTTTGCCATAATTTTTTAATGTCCAGAGGTTCAAGGTTCAAATCCCATTTCAGACAGGATGGAAATAAAATTTTTTTGTTTGTTTATCTTAATAATGAAAAAGCATCCGTGAAGTGAAAACGCGTCATTTTAATATGGGTGTACTTGAATTTAATATTTCCATACTAAATATTAAAATTTGTATACTAAAATTTATAAAAATTAATATTAATATAAAATTTATAATTTATACTATAATTTATAACACACCTTGAATTAATTTTACTTACAAAACAAATTTTTAAAAATCAAATTTCTTCATTTTAGTGAAACATGTTGACAATTACGAAAACTTCATATTTTTTGTTTGTTTTTAATACGAATGAGTTTTGAATTGAAAATAGGGGAATTTTTTAAAGAGTTTGGGGGGGAATTAGCCTTAATGCAGTTGGCATCCCTGGTATATATGTACATAGAAATATACTAGCCAGAAGTGCTATTGCTTTATAAAAAAGAGAACCATTTTGAAATATGAGTGTTTTTACTCATTAGAAAATAATTTATGCAATCTCACATACGCGGTTTTGCATTTTGTTGATACGCGGTTTTGTACTTTAAACGACGATATACATAAATACCTATGAGTTCTCTGTAAAATATATTTTATTTTATCTAATCAATAAAACACTTTTACGACTCGACAAAAGTTCGGCAACTTTAAAAGTCATAAATAACTTCAACACGCTTTCACTTTTATGATTTATTTCAGCACATATTTACTCAATTGCCCAGCCAGCAAGAAAACGTACATTTTACGAACATTATGTTTTACGAGGGATTCTCGTATCGCCAAATAGTTAGAGAAAAGCTCGTAAACGATAAAACAAAAAAAATATAGTAGAAATGGAGTTTAATCTTTCACTTTATTTTCTTAGGTGCTTTTCGTCAAAAATTTAACTCCCACGAAGAAGTTTTTATTTCCGTATCAAAGAAGCACTTCCCAAATGCACGACCGGCAAAAAAATTGGCAGCCTATCGGCAAAAAAGATAAAAAATAAATTCAGCAACTTTATAATATATATTAAACCCCTCTTATTTAATTGTTAATTTGTTAATAGATAGTTTGTTAATATTTATTTATCTGAAAATATCTTCACATATACAGTGCCGGGAAAAAATATTGGCACAGAGAATTTTTCGCCATGAATGCAAAGTTTTTTATTCTGATTTCTTCTCTAATTGTTTTTTATAAAAATATAGTTAGTATGAAGTTCTACTTTCAAATCAGATTTTTTAGAAAAATTTTAAGTATGCAGTTTTATAGCTCATTTAATTTTAGTATAATAAAGTGCACGCTTGAATAGCTAGAGAACCTCTTTGTTTTTTGACAATTTCTTATACGCAGTTTCTTCCATACAAAAAAAAAGTCGCACATAATTTGCATGGAAGAAACTGCGTGAAAAAATTGCCAAAAATCAACGCGTTTTTCTGGCAACTTCAAGCTTGCACTATGTTATACTAAAATATAATGGGATTTAAAACAGCATACTTAGAATTTTTCTCAAAAATCTGATTTGAAAGTAGATCTTCATACTAACTGTATTTAAAAAAAATAATGTGCGAAAAGAAATTCAGGTGAAAAACTTTGCATACATTGCGAAAAATTCTCTGTGCCAATACTTTGATCCGGCACTATAAATATTTATTAATTATAATTCCATTCAATAAAAGAACTACAATAATTTGAATTAATTAATTGCCTTTATTTTTAGCATTCAAAAACAGTAGATAAAGCAGTGTAGAAAAACGCTTTTTTAACGTAAATTAATCGTTTACGAGACTCGTTTACAATTAAAAAACGGACGTAAAAATATTCGCATACGAATGCTTTTTCGATCCGTTTACGACTGTTCGTAGGCGATGCACAATTTAAAGCGAAAAAGTGCTCGAAAAAGAGTCGTAAACGGCTATCATAAACGATTTTTAATCCGGTTTTCCTTCGAGAAAATATCCAATTACGAGCTTGTTTACGATGATTTTGCTGGCTGGGTGGTTATAAGCACAAACACAAATACATAACCTCATTCAAGATGTATGTGTTTGTAAATGGACGAACGGGAATAAATATGTATATACATACATATAATAATTCTATGATATTTTATGAACACAAATCCAAGCTTTGGTTAACGTGCATCCTTAGTAGTCTAAACTAAATAATGCCAAAATAAACTATGTAGTATGCCAGGGCGTATGAGCAACATCGCAGTCGGTTACATTTCTTTCCTATAACAATGACTTTTAGTTTCAACTGTATCAACTTTTTGGCTAAAATATCAAGGCTAGAAATACATATGCGGGTTCTCTGACACCGTGCTAAAAGAAATCTGTTTTTTCTGGTCAAATGGATTAGCTCAATTTGATATCAGATATGTCCACTAGAGTCGTCCAAGTTTTGTATGGGGGATACATTTTTTCAGCTAATTTAAATTTGTAATGACCAGGGAACGGATTTGATGGAAATTGCCTTTTTTTCTGCTAAAGAGATAAAGTATATTCGATTAAGAATGTCCACATATACACATTTGATGTTGCCTTTTTTGCCTTTTCTACCCTTAATTGTAAAGGGCAAGGAGAAAGGCCTTATTCCGGATAATATGAAAGTTTAAACGTTTCACATTAAAATTGGGTGCCACTGGCATCAACCCACGTCGGGCCCATGTGTAGTACATTCAAGGCTTTTCTTCGCGAAAATCGAACGAAAAAAGCTGCCAGAAAACTTCAAAATACATCTTGTGGTTCAACTATGGAGATTAAAGTTTTGTGAGTTAATAACTTGAAAAGACGGTTTGCGAATTGATGAAACAAAGTTTTTCTGAAAGTCTGGATTGTATATATGTAGAAAAGTAATTTCTCAGATTTCCTAGGTTGGCGATTTTAAGCATTTTTTCAATATAAATTCAATTCAATTTATACCATCAATAGGCCTTTCTGAGGTTTTAGTGTACGAGGAGTCTGAATCTGGAATTCCTTTTGTACCAAAAACGGCCGTTGGGTGCGATTTAGTGCAAAAAAAATTAAGGAACAATGTTTAGAAACTATGTTGAGAAACATTATTTGCACTTTTACTTCATTTTCTGCTTCCTTGTACCCCAAATACCCTAGAAGTCTTCTTGATGGTTTATGAAGAGAATAACTTAAATGTATAGTGAATACATATGTATCTCCCCAGCACGTTATCGCTTTTTAAAAATGGATTGCCACAAAACAAAACATTTTATGCACACACTACAATAGTATTAGCTACACAAATACAATTAAATTGTTTAATTACTCACCGTTGTCATGGACGCCGTACGCTTTATTCTGCTGCTGCTGCTCCTCCTCCTCCTCCTCCAATTCGACAATATTCAAGTTCTCCTCCTCCTGATCGAACATTTGCTCGTCCGATTGCTCAGCAGGGAATACGAACTCTGTCTCTTCATTCGATGCTTGCGATGAAACGATCTGATAAGTTGGAGGTGTCAAATCTGCACCCGGGCCGCCGGCAGCGACGGGAATACCAAGTCCCGGGTAGGCTGGCACACCACCACCCCCACCATCACCATTGGGCCCAGCGGCAGGCTGATGAGCCTGATTGCCTTGCTGTTGATGGTGTTCATGTTGTTGTTGTTGCTGCTGTTGTTGTTGTTCCAATAGCAATTGTTGTTGCTGTTTCTGTTGCTGCAATTGTGTAGCGGATTTCGGCTTGGCTGCGGATACCAAATTATTGCCGCATGGAAGTAAAATGGATGTGCATAAGATGAAGGCGTAGAAGTAGAAGAGCACCTGCATTTGACTACAACGCCATGAGATGGCTAAAAATGGCTTGCGATCGAATGTGGTGGTGGTGGTAGCAGCTGTTTGCTGTTGCGGCTGCGACGCGGTTGAACGATGACAACCCCCACGAGTGCGCAGAGTATTTGATGTAGGCGGATTTGCAGTGGCAAGAAGGCTGACAACAGCTTTGGTTGCCGCCTTCTCCTCCATAGCAGCGTAGCGCATTTGGGCAGCATTTTGTGGCAACGATTGGCAATTGGTGTTCACTTTTACTGCACATTTTAATGCCGAGTCATTCACTGATTTCAGTTCAGATTCGGAGTCAGATGCGAAAATTCTTATCTCAGTTGCGCTCACTACTGCGTGCTGCTGCTCCACTTTAGAGGCTTCAATGTGTAAATTTAGATTGTTTGAAGTTGATTTGTTTGGGTTATTGTTATTGTTGTTGGCGATGTTGGTGGTGGTGGTTTTGGTTGTTGAAGTGGTGCTGGTGGTGCTGGTAGTGGTTGTGTTTACTATTGGCTTTTTATTCACTTCACAATCAAATTCATTCACTAATCTGGCAACTCTATTTACATTCCCGACTATTAACGATAACAACACCGATAACAAGTATAGCAATGGATCACGTTTGGTTGCGCGATCGCGCGACACTCTTTCAAGGTATGCGGCTAGCCACAGCAACGCACGGCACATGGTGGCAGTAAATCCACTGCCAGCCACAGGGCTGCTACGCGCGCGTTCACCTGCAACAACAACAGGGCTTGGTGGCCTTAGACGTCCGCGCCGCCGCCGACTATTGAAATCTATCGTCTTTTTAGTATTTTGTTGCTGCGACCCGATTGACGGCAGCGGTTCGTTGGACGTCAACGCCGATGGCGATACCATTGCCGTTGGGACTGCGGATGCCAACGCCGACACTTCAAACATTTCTGCAATGTTAATGCTTTGAGTGGTTTTTGTTTTAGCGGTTGTGGTTGTTGTAGTTTTAAAGGTTGTTGTTGTTGTTGTGGTTGCTTTCGTTTCTGTAGCTGCGTTATGCTGTACGCAGCCACTCCGTTCAATACTAGTTACTGCAACAGCAACGCTTGGTGGCGTAGGCAGCTCGGTTTCATCAGCTTTCATGGCCGCATGTTGCGGCAGCATGTTGCAAAGCACATGTTTATTGCCATTAGTATTTGCGCACACATTTACAGCTGTGATCGTTGCTGATCGCGCGCCACCAGCTTCAAACACATTTCCTAGCGCAACATCTGTGTCTTTTATTTCTGCAACATGTGTCCTATCATTATTTTCAGCAAATAGTGTTACGTCTGCAATGTTGCTGCTGGAGTCGCGCGTCGTGCCGTCAGTTACAGCATTCAGCATGTATTTAGCTGTTATCCCAGCGTCGTTTGCATTTCGTTGCTGGATCGGCAAGTTTGCAATTGGTTCTGGTACGGTTTTGTTAATTTGCTGTTCTTGTTTGGCAACATGCTGCCCAGCTGTGCGTTCAATGGCTTGCCAAGTTATGTTTAAAGCTTTATTAAGCCAGTTAACTGTGTGAAGTTGTTGCTCATCGCCTACTCTGTCAGCTGCTGCTACTGCTGATGCTTGTTGTGCTGTATCATCGCAGTGCAGCTTTGTGCTCTGTGTTCGGTTTTGCTCGTCCAATATTTCCCAACATTGTGGTTGCTGCAACATTGATTCAGTTGCGAGTGGCATGAAGAGTTAAGTTCTATGTACCAGATTTTGGTAGCGAAATTTCACCGATGAGAAGTTCTTACAATATTTCTTAATATGTAAATTTTTAAATATTTTCCAGTATTTTTATAAATACTTTATATATCCAATTTTGTATACTATGTTGCTGATAAACCGTTGTAATCGTTGTTTATTGAATTGTGTGCCTTAAAGAGCTATTTTTTAATTACCATGCATTTATAGATTTTCCTATTTTAAAGAAATATTTTTTCTATTGGTTTTTGAATTGCTATGCCTTTGAGGAATTTTTAGTTTTATATTGTATTTTTGCTGATTTTCTTTATTTGCTTTACGTTTATAGATTTTTTATTTATAACTCTTTTGCTGATTTTTTTTTCTAAATTGCCATGTATTTTATCTGTAGAAATATTTTGCTGTTAGATTTCTCTAGTTAATAGTTTGCTTTTTTACAAAGAAATTTGTGTTGATTTGTATTAATTTGCAATTCTTTTGTTTATTTTGTTTGCTTGCGAATATTTTTTCAAATGTGTTTTAGCAAATTTGGGTAGTAGAGCAGCCAGGAAGTATGTATGCACTGTTATTCGGAATAAATTTTCTATGCTTAGCAAAGGGATGGCGATGGTTATTGGTATGTAGCAGCAATTTTTTCTCGCAGTTTGTTTAAATATGGCATGCGGACAGAATTTTTAAAATTGTTTGCAAAATTTTTTTATATTTAATTTTATTGCAGAACTTCTTAATTTTAAGTTTTTAGTATGCAGTAACAGTAGTCTCTAAATTTTTGCTACGCAGCAGTTTGGTAATAGGTTTTTTTGTGCAGCGCATTTTCTATTTTTTTTTTTTTTGGTTGGCATGGAATAGTATTTGCAATATGTAATTGTATATTCGGTATACAGCGCTTTTTATAATTTTTTACCCTTTTTTTAACTTTTTTAACTAAAATTTTTTATATTATAATTGCAGTTAGTATACAATTTGCCTGGTTTGGTATGGAAGATAACAAAAGCTAATTGTAGCTAGTTATAAACGAATTTTTTGATACTTTTTTTAATTTTTTTTTTTTTGAGGTTAGTAGAAACAGTACAAGCTCACAAATTAGAAACACTTTGTAATTAAGATGATTAATTTTCAAACTGTTTTAATTTCTGCTTTTTTCCAACATTAGAGTGACGAGCTGGACGACTAGCTTGTACTCCTTTATTAAGGTTATTTTAAATTTCAATCCCTTGCCTCAAATTAGGTTTATTTTTTTTTATTTTAAGACGACATTTTTCACGAACCACTATTACTTTTTACCGCTTTGCGAACCCAACACAACATACAGTAATTAAAAAAATAAAAAATAGAGACACTACATATTTACCAGTTTTGACTATTTTTCTTTTGCCTGTTTTTTGTTTATATATTTTTTTAAATAAAAATGCAGCTCATTATCTAAAAAAAAGCCATAAATCTCATACGTACAAAATATTACAAGCACAACAACCTTTTTATTCAACTTTTTTACAAAAATAGTTGTATAGACAATTAAATTCCTAATAAAGTGCAATTTTCAAGTGGCTAGGAATTCGCGTTGACTTTTTATAATATTTTTTTTTGCCGATGGTGTTGTTATTCTCTTTCATACAAAACAAAATAGTCGAACAATGTTTTCTTTGTCGAAAATCAACCCGAATTCTTAACCAAAGGACAAGTTTCAAGCACCTTATTAAGATAGAATTTAAGGGGCTATAAAACTGTATATATATGTATAAAAAAAATAATAATAGCTATTTTGTAAATATAATACAAATTAAAGGAACAACAGAAAATTTGAAGCTTAAAATTTATTAGAATATTTTTTTATATAAATATTTTTATAAAAAAATAATAAAAACTTCCCAAGAAATAAAAATTAAATTAAAGAAACAAAAGACAAATAGTCAAACTTGGTCAAAATGTCAACTTTAAAAATGATTGCTGAAACCGGGCATCAGTGCTTCAAACCATTTGGTTCTAATAACTGGAATACTCTAATTCTTCAGAGCTCTAATATGTGAGCTTCTACTGTATTTATTTCAATTTATTGATACATATATGGAATATAAATCTTATGCTTTTATGATCATTATGTAGCAGAAATTTTATATTTGCTTTTTCAGAATATATTTTTGATACTTTGCCAAATTATTTAAAATTCAAAAGCTCTTTGAATTTTAATGACGTATCTTTTCTTATGGTTCTTGAAATAATCAAATATTTTTTGAAAATTTTTGAAAAAAAAATTGGAAATTTTTGGAAATTTGTGTTTTTTTTTTAGGTTTCGATGCGCAGGGTTTCATCGTTATTTGAATTATTATTGTTGATTTGGCGTTTATGTTTTCATACATTTCTTACATTATTCAAAATATGTATATTTTTTCACATTTATTTCGATGTCGTTTCAGAAAAAATATCGATTTTGCATACTTTAAAATTTTCGGTGTCACTTTACTTTTAAATTCATATTTTATTTCCGCAAATTTGACTTTTTTTCAAAAAATAATCTCACTTTTTTGCAAACTATCAAATTTTTCATGTCACTTTACATTTAAATATTTTATTTTCACAAATTTCTAAATAAATTTCAGTTTTATCGCGCATTTTAATAACTGAATAAAAATTTGTTTCTTTGTTTTTGTAATTCATGACATTTTGTATGTTCTTGTTATACAAGAAATTTTACCAGAAACCAGAGTATACCTTACCAAAGGTCTTCGACGTGCTGAGTGCATATCCAGGGTCGTAGTTGGTATGGTAGGTAGCTCAGACTTTCGAGATAATTTAACAGAAAGGTGCAAAAAACGCAATTTTATATTATATTTCAGGTTATGGAATATCGATTTCTTAAAAAAAAAGCTATACACAGCATCTTAAAGTACTAGCATTTATTCTTTTAGCTGCCGTCCGGTTTTCTTCAATATCATTTTTCTCGTCATGAATAAAACTTCAAAAGGTTTTTATAAATTAAGGGCCGTTTTCTCAAGTAAGTTTTAAAATTTATCTGCCCATCAACCACATTTTTTCTGAACAAAACTTGCAACCAAACCAATCATATATGCGATTAAAATTCAATATCTCGACGAAAAAAAGACTTGTTACTGCTTTGAGCTGCTGTGTAGGATTTATCTTTGAGAAAACTGAAATAAATCGCGATGCTAAATAACCTAAAACATAGGCCGATATCTCGTGTATGTACATTTATGTTAATAAATCTCGAAAAGTTGAGCCGCCAGAGCAGTTAAGACACCGAATTTGGATTCAGCACGTCGACATTTTTTTGGGAAAATTACAAAGAGAACACATGTTTTTAATATTTTTCATTAACGACAATTATATAACGTTCTCTAGTAATTTATTCTCCTCCACAGTTTTCCACAAGGAATGAAATCCGCAACATTTAAATTCTGGCCTCTACTGTGTACAGGCATTTCGTTGCTCACACTTTGTATATTTTTAGGCGCGTCGGCTGAATTATTAAGCCTGCAAACGAGTTGCTGCGTATAATTTAGTTTAAGACTTTTTAAAAACAAATAACTAACATCCTTTTAGCCATAACTCAAATATTGTTGCATACTTTTAGCGATTGCAGTGGAAATTCCCGCTTTTGTCTTGCAAATCACTATTCCAGCACCTTCACTATTTTATTCATATCTGCTAGACAAACTCACACCCACACTATATGTATGTAGCTCACTGCTCGCTAGATGGCAGCTAACACACCTGCGTACTCAATATTTCTGTGTAGTTTGTCACTGCGTTCTGCGGCTTCTAGCAAAAGTCGCTAAAAAATTATTTTCAATTACAAAAATACACGCTTGCACATAGGTATGCATGAATGTCGGCCTCGTAGCTGGATAAAGTATTCGGCAGTCCGCTACAAAGTATGCTACATATTTTTATTACAAATTTTTTAAACTTTTATTTTTACCTTTTTTCACCGTTGCGTGGCGTCGCAAGCGTATACGGCATACAGCGGTTATACATATACCGCCCGCTGTGTTCTAGGTACACTGCTGTCGCTTTGCACCGACAAGCGTACAAACACACACACACACAAACGCAGCACTTCTCAAAACTCACTTTACTTCAGCAACACATTTATATTTAACTTTTAGTTTCAACAAAAAAAAAACAAAATTGTGCTTGCTAAAATTTTTTACTTTTTTCCTTATTTTTACTCGTTAGGTGTGCAGCCACGCAGCGCAGCGCCCGTTTTTTTTTTTCTTTCTTAGAGGCGTTATGCAAAATGCCACAGACACAGTTATATGTTTGCGTTATTTTTAGCTGCGTTGGCTTATTTCTTGTTTTCTTGCATCACTTTACAAATCGTTAACAATTTTCCACAAAATTCACTTTAATATGTATTTTCTTTGAAGTATTTAATTTTTTTTCTTGCACTATTTCACTTGCAACATTTTTTTCACCAGCACGCTGCTGTGCACGGCTTTACCGTTTAGACGTTCCACACTGTTCGCGTTCTCATATTGTAGTGTCACGTCGTGTAGTGCTCAGTGCTGCTGTTGGTCGGCCGTTTGGCTTGGCTGGCAGTTTGCATGCAATTTTCGATTATAGCATAGTTTACGGCGCAGCTGATGCGGCACCTTCAGGTGTATGCGCGCGCTCTCTCTCGATCTCTCTCAAACGGCGTTCGGCTACTTGGGTGGGAGGCAGATGCATTGCACGTTTTTTAACTACTACCGGCCGTAGCTTTTTATGGGAGCTTTCCGTTGGAAGGCATCACATGGCAGCTTTGTTCTCGGCTTGTTGAGTAATTGCGACGTTGGTTCTTTGGGAGCATTTTTCTGAACTCTGGTTATTACTCAATGCATAAATTGTTTCCGTTGTTGTTTGAGTGGTTCGTTTGTTCGTTAGAGCATTAAAATAGTCCGTTAAGTTTGAAAAGTTCATCAGAATTGTTTCTGAAAATAAATAATTTTTACAAATTATTAAAATGTTTATTTGCAAATTTGTATTATATTTTTAAATAAACATTTGCAGTGGCTAGCATTGGCACTCAAATTGTTTGGCTGTTAGTGCCCAAAGGTATGCTATATCCTCAATAACAAAAATATACGCACACAGCTGCATATGCGATTTTTCGCACTTCTCAAATATCCCTATCAAAATATACTATCGAAAGTTCAAGGAGATATAAATAGCTGCAAAACTGGTAGTAAACCAATGCCTCCTATAGTCAACTGGTGTTCTAATCAGGTTCCCAGCATTTAATCAAAAAAGTTGACTGCCATAGGAAGGATAGTACTTCAATGTAATATAAATATACTGAAGTCAAACCACTAAGCGCAACTATGCGAAGTGAGCATAGCATAGACAGACGGCAACGTCAATGCTGATTAACGGCAAAGTTGCTCTGATCAAAATCGTACACTGAGAGATGGCAGTATTGCGGGTTTAGCGAGCCGCAAGATCATAAGTTCGAATCACATGGCCAGAAAGATTGGTTTAAAATTTTTTAAGATGCTTCAATTATTTCATTTTCTTAAATGTTATTATATTTGCAGTCGCCATACAAATTGAAAAAAGTTTTTATTTAATTTCAGTAGGATTCGTCAGTTTTGTCATCGAAAACGCCCCTGATCCGCATTAACGCAGGAGGGACTGACGTTACCATGTGGTAACACGGAACATATGATTGAAAAAAACGTCTGTTTGTGGAACTCAAGTTTTCCAATTAGAAACTAAAGCTATTATTGAAAGCGTAAAGCTTTAAATTTTAAATTCGCAACGATTGCTATTTAGTTGTTAAAAGAAGTTTTTTGTGAGAGGACGTTCAAAGGTGGGTTTTTATTTAAGGAGCAAAAAGTGGAAAAAATGCATCTGGAAGAAGGTAAGTTAAATTGTTGTGTATTTATTGATTAACATGTTCCAGAAATTATAACATCAATCTGAAGTTAAGATACCACAATTTACTCTTAGTTACTAATTTTGAGGGTATATACACCTTTTTTCATATTTTTTGGTGTTTTAATGAGCGTGTTACCATATGGTCACGTCAGGAATTACAGAGTACAGGTTTAAAGATGAATTTCAAAGCACATGTGCACCTAATTCGCTGCTTATTTTAAGAAAGTCTTTGATTAATTCGCCATTTTGTTGCAGAAAATTCACATTAAAAGATATTGCAGACTATTTGGATGAGTTAGACGAAAATGATACCTAATGAAGATGGAGAACTAAGTGGTGAAGATGATGCAAACGAAGATGAGGGTGGAATTATTGACAATGTATGTCGAAATCAATTAAACGAAGGATGTGAGATTGTGCTAAAGAATGGTGAGCACGTGGACTCTGCGTCAATGGTGAACTCATGTGACGTTGAGGGAAACATTGAAGCAACACTAGCGGATCTTATAGGTGATGAATCCCATAGTGTAAGCCCCACGGTCCGTAAGCGCGAAAACTACCAAGGAGAGTACACAAGGCAACAAACAAGAGTCATCTGATGAAAATATTCCCAACACTTCTGTATCCAGCAGGCTAAGAAGGGTAGAAGGAATTCCGTCTGAAGAACCTCTTCCGTTAGCAAATAAAAACACAGTGTTTAACTGGTCTAAGGAGTGTAGAAGTGATCCAATGCCTTTATTTCCGGAAGCGAACTACAATGATTGCCGTGGTCAGCAGCCGCACGAGTTGTTTGAATTTTTTTTTTTTGATTATGCTTTACTAGAGCATATCGTTCGATGTTCAACATTGTATGCCACAAAAACATTTGAAAACCCTGTGCGCAATATCAGTACTCGTAGTAAGTTAGTTGCCTTGTACTTTTTTCTGTTTTAAGGACTTTTATACATGTATGTATTTAAATTCTGTTAGAATTGCGCACGTTTATTGGTATACTTTTAATAAGCGGCTACAACACCGCTGCTAATGTGAAAATGTACTGGAATATCTCCGAGGGCTTACATTTCGAATCTAACCTGGTTGCGCCTGATGATAATGAAGACAAATTTTGGAAATTGAGGCCTATGACAGACCACTTAAGGGCCAATATGTTGCAGCACTTCCTTCCATCCCAACAACTGTCTTTTGATGAGATAGCATGATTGCATACTATGGTCGTCACGGGTGCAAGCAGTTTTTAAAAGGCAAACCTATCCGTTTCGGCTACAAAGTCTGGTCTTTGTGCACTCCGTCAGGATATCTAGTCGATTTCGACATATACCAAGGAAGAAATCCGCGATCAAACACGGAATACGAACAGTGCTTTGGAAAGTGTGCAGCAACCTTTTTACAAGTTTTCCATTACTGACTGATCTGAAGTCGATGGGGTACAATGGAACCGGAACTGTAAGGGAAACTCGTATTCCATCCAGCTGCCCGTTGAACCACATGGTCCTTGTTAAAAAATAAAGCCAATTTTAATTAATTTTAAAGATAACTAAAATGAAGTAACAAAAAAATAAGTTGTTAAAACTTGCCAATATTTTAGAAACAGGGTATAGTAATATATTAAAATTTTTGTTTGTATTTTATGACTCAATGTTTTCCTTATTTTTCTTTTTAATTAATATCTAAGTATTTATGTATATTTTTTAAAAAACTTTGAAAAAAAAATCAACTGAATTAAATTCAACTGTTTTAAACTAAAAAAAAAAAAAAATGTTTTAAATTTTCTAGCAATTTTGAGCATCGTTTTTCAGTTCGCTGGTATATCGTTTTTGCAGGGGAGTCGTTTGTGCGGCCCGCCGGCGAGTCGTTTGTGTGGCCCGCCAACGAACTGTGCTTTTCATCCGACGGCGAGTTCGCCGGCGAGTCGATTGCGACTGTCGCCGGCGAACAAATTGTTGACCAGAACGAGTCCGAAACGACGTCGTTTGGCAAATTGGGTATGTACATATGTTTGTGTACATGTATATATGCACATATGTAGTACAAACGAAAACAAGTCTAATATTTAAGCTGCTCGTTGATATAAATGCGAACTGTTCTGATTGTCAAAAATTATGTGTTTATTGTACATTCGTTCATGTTTGTCATAGTGCGTGTAATTTTTATACCTTTCATGAGCATGAAATGGTATTATAACTTTGGTCCGATGTTTATAAGTACCAGAATAAGAAGAGACAGACCCATTAAAATGTATACTTATATGATCAGAACGTCGAGCTGAGTCGATTTAGCCATGCCCGTCTCTCTGTCTGTCCGTCTGTTTGTATGCAATCTAGTCTCTCAGTTTTCGAGATACTCCTCCATTTATATAGCTCGGAACATGAAATTCCGCACTGTTTTCAATAATTATCAACAGAGAACTTACAGTGAAAATAAAAAAGATGGGGTAACTATAACCTATAGCTCCCATACAACGGATTGTTCAGATATGAGATTTTTCGTTATAACTCCTCCATTTATGCAGCTAGGAACATGAAATTTCGCACGATTTTCACTCATTATTAACATAATACTTACAGAGAAAATAACAAGGATCGGGTGACTATAACATATATGTATCTTCCATACATCTGATTGTTCAGATATGGGATTTTACTGTAAAACTCCTTTATTTGAACAACTAAAACCGATAAATTTCGTAAGATATTTTATAAATAATAATACAAAGTCTACTGAGAAAATCGTCAAAATCTATGCTGTATAAGCTTTATCTCCTATACCACTGATTGTTCAGATACCAGTTTTTGCAATATGTCTCCTTTATGTGGGAAACTAAACTCAATAAATTGTGTTACCGGTTTACATACCGATCACATAGCAGTGAAAATCACTTAGATTGGTGCCATATAAAGTATATCTTCCATACCTCTGATTGTTTAGATGCGATTTTTTATATAGGTATGTAACTCCTCTATCGATGTATGCAGATGTATTCAAAAGCAGTAATCTGTCAAAGTAAAATTTGCAGATGTTCATGAAAGGTATGAAGACAGCGGTGCTCTTACTTGTCTAGAATAGTTTTTTGCTCTCGGTATCTCCTTGTATTAACTCGTCCTTCGTTTGTATACTCTGATGAACATATGTGAGGATGATAGCAAGGCCAACTTATATAAGATAGTGTTACAGGAGCAGTTGAAATTTTCGCCCGAAGTTTCTTAAAGAAAGCCATAAACGTAGCTACCGTTGGTTCAACTTGGTGTTATTTTACTCTAGATTGCACCGTTTGTGGGCCTGTTGAATGTATTTATGTCTTGGTTGTATGAAAGATCAACAAAATTTGGATTTTCTGGCAAGTTGTACAACTTATCGCTACATTAATGGCCATGTCGTACAAACTCATTTAATTTGCGTTTATTTTGTACACTAAATAACCAAAAATGGATAACTCAGCCGAAATAGGTACGTGCTTTCGTTGAATTTTATAAATGTAAGCCGAAACTATGAAATTGTAAAAATGATATTTTATAATGAGACTGCTCGCAAAATTTCAATGTTTGTGGGCAAAACGTTTTCGGCTTGCATTATGTCAAAAGGATGTGTTTTTGTTGCAATTCATTCTGTCATTTACTACCATTATGCGTAGGCCAATTCATGAAATCATTTCATGCGTTTGAGTAGAAACTGCATGAATGAACACCATTTCATGAGAGAGATGAGAGTTTATGCACTTAGTTTTTACTCAGATCGAGTTTGTACGACATGTGATACTTGTGCTTATAATTTATAAGGTAATTTTATGTTTTTATACTCTTG